GTAGGGCTGGAATTAGGATTTGGGGCGAGCTTCAGATGTACGCGGGCACTTTTCTCGATCGATTACTATTTCATAGCCTGACTCTGTCGCTAGAACATCCACACTTTGACCCACGCTTGAATTAGCCGCTCTCGCATTTACGCGACATCGCGAATTCAACGGTGCAGAGGTTACAATTTATTTAAACTTATCGCGCGTCCATCACGAATGTTATCGAACTGTTATGCCGTAAGCTGCAGACTCGTCCAAATAGTTGCAAAGTCACAATATTAGGATGATTTTAATTGGGAAGGGTTCAAGCACTCGGACAAAGATATCAGGATATACTCTAAGGTTTATTCGGAGACTGAACACTGGTGCACTTCTTACAAAATCAGAAGTGAAAATGAGCCCCGAGGGCCAGAAGCGGTACGCTTTTATAATTTTTGGTTTAGGTACAGCCGGGTTAGGTCTAGGCGTATGACGCATTTGTTTTTAGACTAACCTTATCGCTATGAGTAATACTTATTTCTATGGGGGCTTACGGCATGACAGAACGAATGAATTGCACAGTGAGTTATTTAAAATTAATCACGAATCAATTGCAATTCGTCGTGCATTGTGGAATAGCGTGGATCCGATCGTGTGAGCGCGTACTGCTGTTGTACTAAACGACAAAACGTTTTCCTTCTCGAGTCCTTCATATCTTCGATTGAAAAAAAGCTACCGGCATGTTCCAGCTTTTAGAATCGCTCTGTATAATTCTTGCGACGCAACGTTTCAATTCCCTACAGCTTTAGCGTCGTTCAGTTTCCTTTTAGAGTATTTTCTTACGGGCGAAATCTCGCGTAATGCGCGATAAACGTCAGAAACAAACCGATTTGTAGTAATGAAATCGTAGCTATCGGAGAACCGTCGCAGACTCGTCGAGAACATTACTATTGGTAAAGCAATCAATGATGGCGCAGGAAGGTCCTCGTGATCGGAAAGCATCGACGGTTATTGCCGTTGAATCCATCCATATTACGCTCCTCGGTAGCGATATCCAGCCGTTTTCTGTTATCGATTGTTATTTTCCTTATACTTACGGTAATTCAGACTTCTTCGTACGCTGTCCGAATACTGTAGAACCCGTTAAATCGCCTTCAAAGGGTGACAAACAGCGGGGATAATCGAAGCCCGAGGGAGAAATAGTTTGTCACAAAACACATTTCGCTTTATAGATTTCCAATAAGAGCGATAGAACCTTAAATTGAAATAAAATAAAAACTACAAAAGGTATTATTGAAATATCATTGGCTGCGTCTCGCCAATAACACGAATGGTTTCAGATTAATCGAGTCCTCGAAGATCATAATTGTACTCCATTCGGAGAAATTATAGTTTAAATTGTAGCATTCTATACGATAAACGAAAATACATATGCATGTAATTGCTTTTTAATTATTTTGATTTATATCATTGTTGTTCTCCAACGTTCATTTATGATTCATATTCAGATTAATTTCAAATTAAATGTATTTTCGATTCGCGGGCGATCGTTTCGCAATTGTAATATTTTATATTTGATGGTATCCATCGTAACATTGATTTTCATTTGGTCGGGACGCTTTCAGTATATATTAAAACGAAATTAATAAATCTGGCAAGAGAAAAATTTTTATTAAATTTGAAAACTTCCTAATTAGAATTTTCGCTTTCTGTGCGGTTTTCAATTAGCGTGAAAATGAGCGCAGCAGAGGTAATATAGAGTTACGAGCAGCTGAAAGGATATGAAAAAATATTATTACGTTTAAACACAGTACAAGATTTAAAATAATTTCTATTTCATATAGTCACATTTTTTTCTACTTTATTCGTTACAAATGGAAAAAGTGTAATTTGTATTACACAGTTAATTTTCAAAATACTGTTTAACTCGTTTAAGTGATCCCTTGAATGCTTAGAGCAGCGAGAATTATCCTTTCCATAAAAATCCATTAGGGAACCATTTTCCTGTACACTTTTAGTTAATTACAGCTCCATTCACAGATTCATTTTGTTAATCCTGAAATCCTCAAATATTGTATCACGAAAGAGAAAGATATTAGCATACATAGCGTGCTCGTTAACATCCCCGACGAAATTTGGTTTGTTCCTAATTTTTTAACCCTTTTGGAAGCTCTTGTAAAAGAAGTTGTTACGTAGCCACTTGCACAAGGGCGGGAAAAATCTTCATTATGAGATTGTAAGAGGCTGCCAGAAGTCGTTAACCCTTTTATTCGCGAGGTTTCTAGGCATTCCTAGAAAATAGTATGTCTCTTATCACTTCGTATAAATACGCCGGAACGGAGATGGTTTCTTTCACCCCTCGAGTCACCACAGGAAATAGGCGTCACGCATTGACGACAAGATTAGGTTTCTTTTACGTCCTTCGTACAAGGGACCCGGATAAGTGACTTTATTAAAATCTAGTCCTTTTATTACTAGGTCGCTGCAAACATTTTATCCACGGATAAACATAAAAATGAAATTGTATTTTTTACACCTCCTATACACAATATTTGCTACGTGTTCTTCATTTTTTAATAACATACGTAGCGACTTTGTAAAAGGTTTCTGAATTTTTAATAAAAGTGAACTACTTCTCTTTATTATTATTTCAGAACGAAATAATTGGACAAAAGCAAACAAGTGTAGTTTGAACGTCGTGGCTAACAGCCATTCAAAGTTTAGTTACCTTCGTACAGTGAACTTTGTTAAATTCGCTAAAATATAATGAAAATTTATGGCCCTCTGTTAATTTCTTAGCGGAGCGTACGCGCATAAGCTAACTTTACGCTGCTATGTTAATTTCATGACGTTGGAAGGACTAAAGCAACAAAATTATTTTCAAATATATTTACCTAAGCCATCTACATGAAAAACGTATCACAATATTTATAAAATTCAATTTTATATTTTGTGTACTTGAATGAATTTTGCCATGGTGGAAATTATTTACGTTCACATTATACTTGCAATTTGTTAATATCGTTACAGCAGTATGCTGCATATTAAGTAAGCTGCATTTCCATTGCAGCGAAGCCAATTTCACGTGGATCGCAACGTTTTCAATATTTGCGTAATACGCAAACGTCACGCAATCGTGCGAAATTTACATTTAACAAACACTATACGTATGATTATAATTACGAGATATCAACACTATATGTATTCGCAATTAATTAGAATATGTATTTCAATTTCATCAATGTGTCGAACGTGTTTCAAAAGTTCTTGAAACAGAGTAAAATCTTTTTATATAGGGTGTTCGGTCACCCCTGGGAAAAATTTTAATGGGGGATTCTAGAGGCCAAAATAAGACGAAAATCAACAATACTAATTTGTTATTAAAAAGTTATTAACAATTAAATTCAACAATTTCGAAGCGTTCTGGAAAAATTATTTTCGGTTGCGGGGGTCAATTACAATAATTTGTGGTGAATACACATACCTCCGTTATCCTTACCACTTTTGAGAAAAAAAATCGGGTAGATGCTGAAATTTTTCGGCGGAAAGAAAATTTTTCAAAACGTTCTAAAAAAATTATTTTCGGTTGCGGAAGTCAATTGCAATCATTTTTGGTCATTACACATACTCCCGAAATCCTACGTACTTTCGAGAAAAAAATTCCTTACCGAAAATCTAATTAGGTTGCTTTTTTCAACGAAAAAAAAAAATTTCAAATCGTTCTGGAAAAATTATTTTCGGTTGCGGGGGCTAATTACAATAATTTTTGGTAAATAGTCATACCCCCGAAATCCTGCGCATTTTCGAGAAAAAAATTCGAGAAGGTGTGAGATTTTTCGATGGGAAAAAAAAATTTCAGATCGTTCTGGAAGAATTATTTTGGGTTGTGGGGGTTAATTACAATAATTTTTGGTAAATAGTCATACCCCCCAAAATCCTGCGCATTTTCGAGAAAAAAATTCAGTACGGGCGGAACTTTAAACGTTAATAACTTTTTAACAAAGTCTCCATCAACAAATTCGTATTCTTGATTTTCGTCTTATTTTGGCCTCTAAAATCCCCCATTAAAATTTTTCCCAGGGGTGGCCGAACACCCTGTATGCAATATTGATAATTATTCGTCGTGTTTTACAGTTACAATTTTTCAAGCGAAAATCTGAAATTACATTGAAAAAGTTAATCAACAGTCTCTAAGGAATTTTTTCGTATTAACATTTTATCCAGCGCTTAATGTTTCATAAATTCAGGGAAAAGTCAGAGCAAGTGTCGTTATAAAAAAATATGGAAGATGCCCTAGAAATAAATTGCTAAACATTGGAAGGTTGTCCTACTCACCTTGAGTACGAACGAAGGTCATACATTCTGTAATAGAGATGTAATAAACAATGACAGAGCAAAATAAAAGTATACAAATTTTATTCGATCATAATTTTCGAGTTTCAAATTCTGTTCTTAAAGTTACAGAACTCGTAAATATTATTCGCTAGCGATTTTCTTTGAATTTTATCGATAGAATGATATGAATGTACCTAATGTAAATCTAGTGTTAAGATAACATTTACCGAGATGTTCGTAATTCGGGAAAGCAGTAACACTGCTGTGACTTTTTTCGTCTTGAAAGCGAACGACCCGAACTCCTAAAGTTTGGTCTACTTATTTCCAAGACACCTTGTAGAAGCAGTATAAATTTCTTCCTTTTATATACAAAGAACACTCGTTACTTCTTGACAAGCCATTTGATGGACGATTTGCTTTGCCTCGAAACCCCTTTTCTCTCGTTGGAAATTGAGAAACAGTCCACGTGCCCAGCAAATAGCTATTATTCTTCTTTGACGAAGGTAATTACAACAGATGGTATTGTTTCGTCGAGAACTGTTTTCTATTCATTTCTTCGTCGTTCTTTTCTCCTGTACATTACTAGAATAATGCAGAAAACGTATTCTCCGTTCGCTCAACATTAAACAGTTTCTGACTTTTTCGAAATTCATAAAAAAAAAAGAGAAAAAGAACAATTACGCATTTGGATTCTTTCAATCGGTAGACAAAGCGTCCCTTAAAAGGTTCCTAAGTTCTACGATTTCTTTCCTGAGCCTCTCTATTTCGTTCTCATCCGCCGCTTTTTCTTTTTGCCGGAAATAACGTTGAACCAGTCGCCTCATCACCATGGAAAATTGTTTGTTCTTCTCGGTTTCTAAAGATTCCTATTAAAAAATAACGCAGAAGTGATTAAAATATTTCGAGTATTAATAGAATTTATAATAGAATTTTTGGAAAATGTTTTCGATTAAATACTTAGACGTAACTGTAGCAAAATTTATTTACTATTTACTATTTATACAAAAGTTTAGTGAGTTATATAGTGAGTATTGTAAGATTGAAAATTGTTGTATTAATCACTCTTCGCAACATCGTGATTTAAAACACTGTGAACATACAATATTGATCTACTAACGATATAGCAACAGTGATTTATGCTCCATCGCGCACGCTTATCTTCTGTCGGTTTAAGGAATATCTTCACGTACTCGATCACTGGCTGAATACCGATGTAGGTTGGAATAATATTGAACGGCGGTGGAAGGGTTGTTGTAAGCATGTAATCGACATAAGTCTGAAAACATGGAAAACGTTTCTCGAGGTCGATTCCTCGAGCTAGCTGAATAATACAGTGTTCCCTCTCTAACTGATCGAATTTTTCTTTCGATAATTGAACAGGAATCATCCTCACAATTGCTTCAATTTATTCAGCCCAGACAATTCGTCAAGCCGTTAATGAAAATTAAAATTTTATATCCCGGCCAGAATACTCAGACAATTTGCAGTTGTACTTTGTTCAAATTATATAATTAAATTGTACGAATGTGATCGTGATTGGATTCATTTTCATTGGGGGAACACCGCCAATCCATTGCGATTACTTTCATACAAAATCAACGAATTTGAATGTTATTAAAAAAGGTTGATTTCTGGTAACTGAACAGGAGTAGACTTCGATTGTTGATTAGTTAGAGACGGAACATTATAATAAATTTAGTTGAGGCAATTCTTGTAGGAGTATCGAACCTCTGTTCGGCCGAAAGTCCATTCAACGATCAGGTTTTCCGTGACTTTTGTCATTGTGTTCGACATGCATGCGATTAGCATGTTCAGTATCACTATTACAGAAATGAACGTGAAGCCTGGAAAAATATCGTCTTCAATTATTTGGATTCATTGTAAATTAATGATTTTTCTATATTTAAGAGTTTCTAAATGTTGAAATCGCTAACATAACATTGAACGGTTTGAGATTTTTACGTAAAAGGAACAAAGGTTAGATCAGTTTTTTTACCAGCGAATGATATGTAGCCTATAACCTCTGTGAACGTGTGATGATTGATGACAGTCTCGTTTTCCGATTCGCCTGGAAGATTCTCGATTATCACGTCCGCGCTTTCGATGGGACTCATGCAGAAGAGTGCCCAGAACAGAGTCTTCAACGTGGACTTGAAGTCCACGAACGAGCTGACTTGTTGAGTCTTGATCTTAGATTCGTCGTCGATCTGAACCATCTCGTCGTAATACTGATATAGTTTACACGTTCCTACAAAACAATGAAAATATTATCGAACGAAACTCGATACAATTTGTACGAAATCTATCGACAATCAAGGATGTTTACCCGTGGTGAAAGCAAGGATAATGATGCTGAAAAGAATGATAAATTTCACAACGTCCGTGATCATTTTTCCCAGAGACAGCTGCAGTGGTCCAAGATGATAGTTCAGCAAGCAGATATATAATAATTTTAGAAACGCTGCGATGGTCGCAAGACAGAAAATCCCTTCACCGATCAGCGTGGGATCATACTTGTTCCAATACTTCCTCTCCAATTCCAGCTGTCCGTTTATTGTCACGTCCACGGCGGCGATTATCCAATATAAAAATGTCAGAAGAAATAGGAATATTATCAATACCTCGAACCTACGTAATAATTTGTGTTAATTTTTTTTTATAAATAAATTTGTGTTCTTTAAATAAATAGTTAATGTAGATTTCGAGATATTATCTACGCCAGGCGACAAAGTTTCATACCAAAATTAAGTAGTAAATCTTTAGAAACATTACTGAAAATTTTTCTTTGAAAGTTAAACAGGGCATTCTTCTATTTTCGAAAAATGAAAAGAAAAATCAATTTTTTGAAGGTGTCACAATGATCTATTAACGAATACTTGGATGCGTACCAGTACTGAGGCGTCGTAAAGAACTTCTTCGCGCCATGCACCACGCATAGACGGATCATCGCCCAGGTATACGCGATGATGTAGATGATCATAATCCAAACGTACACTAATAAAGTATCCCCGGGGTCAGAGGTCGAGGCGTTTGATTTTGTTTTATAGCTCGATTTTAGAAAATTGTTTAGAATACCGGTGTTGGGTGGTCCACGGAGCTGTTCGCTTTTGTCAGCCGTCGACTGGAGGAAAGCGAATAATAGAAACACGATGTAGCTGGCGGTGGATGAGAGATATTTGTTAACGGGCGACTGCCAGAATTTTGACTTGTTAGAGTAGGGTGCGAAGAAAACGACGAACAGTATCAACGGCAGCATAACAACGCGTAAAATCACTAATAGACACTTCATCCACGTTCCCATTATCTTCCACTCGTACCAGCCCTCGATCCATTTACTCTCGATCAACTGGAGATATTTAAATCTAAATGGGCGACTTGGATTTAATAACTATTAGCATCGACGACGCTTTATACATACTGGATAAACCAAAAGCAACTACAGTGCGTGTAAAAAGTATTCGTACACTAGTCAATTTGAACAAAAACTTTGCAGAACTTTGTTTATTACAAAAGTATGTTAACAAAAACATACATACATATTCTTAGAAATCTCTGGAACAAATGTAATTAACAACAAATTATTTATTTATATTTATTATGAAAATATTAACAAATTTCCAGAAATTGATCTAAAATATACGAGTAATAAGTATTCGTACTGTCATGCCGTAGGCCCCCATAGAAAATAAGTATTACTCATAGTGATAAGGTTAGTCATAAGCGATACTCGAAGAAGATGACGAACTTGTTGACTCCTTTATGGGGTAAAAACAAATGCGTCATAGACCCAGACCTAACCCGGCTGTACTTAAACCAAAATTATAAAAGCGTACCGCTCCTGGCCCTCCGGGCTCATTTGGACGTTTCATCTTGTAAAGAGTGCATCAGTGTTCAGTCTCCGAATAAACCTTAGAGTATATCCTGATATCTTTGTCCGAGTACTTGAACCTTTCCCAATCAAAAATCAACCTAATATTGTGACGCCGCAACTATTTAGACGAGTCTGCAGCTTACGGCATAACAGTACAGTCTTTGATTCGTAACATTCCACATAGAACGATTACAAGATAATAAATGATATGTAAACATACTTAGCATCAGCATGTCTGGAGACGCTGTCGGTATAGGTAGTATCCTGAATTCAAACATTATCAACGAAGTTATCAGTAAAATGGTACGAAAACGCAAGGAAACCTCTGAAGAAGAAAGGAAAATTGTTATAAGTTTACATAATAAGTGTAAAACACTGAGTGAAATTTCTAAAGTTTTAAATAGACCGAGGTCCACTATTCAAGGAATCATTGACAGATATGGCGATAGAAAAACTGTAAAAAATAATCCAAGAAACGGACGTAAACGAATAATAAATGAGTATACCGGCCGATGGATAATTCGAAAAATAAAGCAAAATCCAAAGATAAGTGCGGTGAAAATCACAACTGAACTTAAAAATGATCTGGACATTAATGTATGCAGTAGCACAGTGCGTAATTTTTTACGGGATAGAGGATATCACGGCAGAGTAGCTCGTAAGAAATATTTCGTAAATGAAATTAATAGAAAGAAACGATTGCAATTCGCAAAAGAGTACGTTAATGATCCTATGGAGCACTGGAACCGTATTATATTTACCGATGAGAGTAAATTTAACATATTTGGGTCAGATGGACGATGTACAGTATGGCGGAAAAAAAATACCGAGTACGAAAAAAGAAATTTGAAGCCGACCGTAAAGCATGGAGGAAGATCAGTCACAGTTTGGCAGTTAGGCTCTATGAGTGCGAGCGGAGTTGGATCCCTCCATTTTATCGATGGTATCATGGATCACAAAATGTATTGTACATCGATATTCTAAAAGAGCATCTTCAGGTTAGTGCAAATAAAATGCAGTTACAGGGCAATTATATATTTTTGCAAGATAATGATCCAAAGCATAATGCTTATAATACACGTCAGTGGATCCTATATGTATAATGTACCGCAGCAACTAAAAATCCCTCCACAGTCTCCAGACGTAAATGTGATAGAGCACTTATGGAGTCATCTTGAAGAAAAAATTCGAGACCATCACATTTCTTCGAAACAAGATTTAAAAAATGCACTTTTAGAGGAATGGAACAAAATTTCTAGTACTATAACCAAAAATTTAGTAAATTCAATGCCGCAAAGGCTTAAAGCGATTATACAATCTAAAGGAAATCCCACTAGATACTAAAATAGCAAATAGACTGATTTTTGTTACGTTTATGTACTAAAATTTATAGTTTTTGTTGTAAAATTAGAAGTGTATGAATACTTATTACACGTATATTTCACGCCAATTTCTGGAAATTTGTTAATATTTTCATAATAAATATAAATAAATAATTTGTTGTTAATGACATTTGTTCCAGAGATTTCTAAGAATATGTATGCATGTTTTTGTTAACATACTTTTGTAATAAACAAAGTTCTGCAAAGTTTTTGTTCAAATTGACTAGTGTACGAATACTTTTTACACTCACTGTATTTATTTAGAAAAGAAGTTTTTCAATACGATAAACACGATACATTGCTGTTAAAAAGTTTGGACGCAGTATCGTAAAATCATGTTACAGATATTTTATTACAATTACAGTCTCAAATATCGTAACAGTTTATACTGTGCACGTATTATACCAGCTTAACAGTGAATGAAGGATTTGAAAACGTATTTATCGAATTTTTGGTTCTTGAAAATTAATCTTTTTGTGTAACTTTCAAATTTTTTAATATTCTGCGTCCAACCCAAAGATCGAAAAACCTAACTTTAAATGCCACGAAGCAAATTTCGAAACGATAAAAATAGGAATAAGATGGTCTTAAAAGAAAAGAAATATAGAATTTGTAAAAAATAAATTACAATTGAACACAGTGTTTGTAATTGCAATCGAGGGTTAACCGAACTAATTTTCCAATTGATTTGTCAATTAATGGAGAATGTGATCGATCGATGGCCGACACTGCGAATCTGTCACACGAATTGCTACGTTTATAAACGATTGGTCGGTTCAAATTGAGAACCTGTTGTATGTTGGGGTGAGCCACGAAAGTCCTCTGCTTGTAGTGGAGCGCGAATAGCAGTCGTGGATAGATGAACTTGGATGAATGAGCGAATCCGGTTGACTGTTTCAGCATCTCTTCCACTTCGTCGACCGTGCGCGCACAATCGATCAGGTCGGTCGCGAATTGTGCGACATCCTGTGGAAAGAAGGGTGATTTTGATCGATGATCGTTACCACCACATTGAACGAAATTTCTACAAAATATGTTACTTCGTTTGACAAATTTATATTGCTCATTGCGACACGATTTCTGTAACGAAAATTCCCGAAATTTCAATTTACGAACAAATAAAGATACAAAATTTATGTAAGAAGAGTATCGTTGACTAAAAAGTGCCAATTATAAATTAATAATCGCTCGACTTTTTAGATTCGAAAGAGTTGCGTTTTTATAGAAGTTTCGTCCACCATAGCGACGGCGTCAACGAACCGTCGAGAGAGTTTTGTACTCGTGATAGAATTCTTTGTTGAATGAGGCGGCTTTATTCAGCTCGTAAGATAAATTGAAGGCTTCCAGAATCGGGTCCTCGACGGTCTGGCAAATGTATGCTGGGTTCGTGATTGCTTTGTACATAAGTAGTCGCATTTTCTCTATCGCCAGCAGGTCGGATCTTTCCCTCTCGCTTCTGCGCTGTCATTAAAATTGAGGAAAGTAATAATTAGTAGAATATTTGAAAATAGAAATTCAAAGTCGCCTCAATATCACATAAACGGATAGGACATTTAAAAACAAAAAACTATTGGAGTCACTTTTTTGTATACTGCATACTTTGGGAGTTATTTTCAGTGGACAAGTTATGTATATCAACTGATATAAATAAGATTACAAGAGTACGGTTAGGTTAAAAAATAGAAACTGGTGTTCTTACTCCTCGTCATGATAAAATCGAATAAAATCGTTAATAGAACCAAAAAAGTTGTTGAATTCTCGTCATTGCGTTTCAGTCAATGTTTATATTACGTTCGTATTGTCACGACGGAGACGTCGAACGAATAAATAAAATTCGTACTTGCACTCGTTGCAGTTGCAACTCGGTGGATGCGGCTTCGAAATCGTATGATGTCTTCTCTGCAGGAAATTGATCAATTCGAAGTGACCGCATTGTGCGGCCACCGCGAGAGGCGTAGTGTCGTCCGGGAAGTCGGTGCTGTGCGTGACGCCCACGTACTCGAGACCAGCCATCAGATCGTTCAGTTTGTTTAAAATCATACTGGTAATTTTAATGTCGTTGTCCCTGATGGCATGGAGGTGAGTATCGCCTGGGTCGATGTCGGGATAAGACAGCAGGTATTCCACCATTGCCGCGTTCCTGTTCCGAACTGCTATGTGAAGTGCCGTGACACCCTAAAAAAACCAACAAGTAATCATCAAATCATACTCAATAAATATTTTAAACTCCCGTGTTTCGAGACCTTGCAAAGTTTTTCATCGGAGATTTGCAATTTTTTGAACGTCAGTTTTCGTTCCATGTTTAATTGAAACTTTAAATTGGTATATGTGAAGTGTATACATATGTCAGGAATGACATGACAAAACTTAATCGTAAATCTCACTTGCGTCGATAAAATAGAGCAGGTAATCGATCGCCACCTGTTGGATCACTTATTGATTTTTAGATCAGTCTGTAATGTAATGTAACACGTATCGTACCACTAATTGTTCTTCTCATTACTTGTTACAAATACAACGTATATAATTAAAAACCTCAACAGTATATGTGTTTGGACCGGGAAAGCGTTATTGTTGGCGTCGATGGGAGTATTTAGGTTTAGACCGAAATGCGTTTAGGGGTCTGTAAAAGGGGTCCTCCGTATCGATAACCTCGTTTGTTTATAACACGCAGATAGGAATCGAGAGGGTTCGAATTGAACAGCAGAAAGTCACTCTGCATCGAACTCTCGAGAGTAGTCACTTATGGTTTTTACGTTCACGTTTTTATGTTCTTTTATGTTAAATAGTTATAGTAATATTAAATAATATAGTTTATGTTTAAGTTAAAAGTGTCCGAACATTTGAATCTGACCACACGTCTGTGACCATCCCTGACATCCTTACAAAATGTCTCATGAATTATTAGCCAGTCGTGTGCAAAACCAAATGTCTCTTCGGTATACGAAGCTCGTTTAAATGACGCAGCTCTTGCTGCGAGTTTCGCGTTGCAGATAAGGTGCCAAATTGCACTCGATTTTGAAACTACGGAGCCAAAGGTATCCAAACGTTTCTAGATCGAAAGTTTCCAGCCGTTTGCGCGCGTCGTAAAAAAAGGGAGCACCGATGTCCCATAAGGCTTCTCGCTTTCCACGATCACGAAATTCCTCGCACTCTTCCGTCCTCGTGAAATCGACTTTCGAACTTCCATTCGCTTCTCTACTTTGTTCTTCTCCGTCGGACGTGTCCTTTTTTGCGCGAAGAATAGGACGACGACGTTTGTCGCCCATCTGCGGCGCGTTTACAGAGGCAGCCTCCGACAATGGACCGGCTCCATTGTCGACAACGGCAACGGTCACAATATTCCGTGATATCCTGGCTTTTCGACAGGCCCCCAGGGGGGAGCTGCATACCAACCACACGCCATAACACAATGACACCTTGTGATATATGCTTCGTTGGAGGGCCCTCACTTTTCACGATCGCCAGCTGTCCGACTCGACGCAATTTTTGCGCCTGGACAAATCTCCGGTCGGATGGCTTATAAGTCGCTTTTTAGTAAAAGTTGGGCCATACGCTTCCCCATACGCGTCTAAACGAGATCAATTAATTTACTAACGCGTACAATGATCTTAGACTATACGCAAATTATATAAACTGTAAACTATAAAATTTATTTCCCTCGATAATCTCAAACGTCTCAACTTGAGAATTAATTTTTCTAGTTCCATGGCGGTAAATCCGTTTCTTTATCGTGTGTTTAAAAAGGTTGCAATTCGTGTTAAACATTTTCTCATCCACCATGACACACAGTGCGATATATCGTTACGGTTTGTTACGGAAAACAGAAGTCAATATTGATCTACGGGACTGGGATGGTCGAAAGGTACGAGGAACATCTTGCAACGAAAATGGCGACACGTATTTTTTGTATTTAACTGGTAGTAAATTTGAATAATTTGTAAACGTTGATGAAATGTCAAATACATGTATACAGCTACTAGACTTTGGCAGATTCATCTAAATAGCCTGGAATCATTACACAGGCTCCAAATAGAGTAATTGGTATAATTGGTGCAAATTACTGAACGAACACCGACAGTTAATCAATTCACTTATTGCTCGTAGGTAGATTGTAAAGATAGGGAAATAAAAAAAAAGAAATACACGTATAGAACCAAAATTATAAGAATGTAGCGTCTCTTCTAATAATACGACTTTGGCTATAGTCTCGAGCGCGAAGGATTTGAAATTATTTGCTGGACCATAGTTTGAATAGGGATAACTAGTAGATATTAGGTCGCCTTCTTAAACGAGAGCAAACGCAAGCCGGGGAGGACAGCTCGCGGCCAAGACGGTGGCAAGGGGATTCCCGGATGGAATTTACAGCGGGACGAGTCATTTGAATAATTTTTATCGGTCCTCGGCTGAAACCATTGTCTTGTAAAGGACGGGCTGAAATATGGCCGGAGATACACGGAGGCAGCCAGCTCCTAAACGTTTCGTTTCTCTCTTGCTCGGTGACTTTACTTCGTCCTCCTTTCGCGTTTCTTCCCATCTCTTCCTCGATCGTCTCTTCCTTCTGCCATCCCTCTTCCGCTCTCTTCTCCTCAAGATCAGCCGGCTCAAGGCGGCCTCCGTTCCACAAAGTGAAACGAGGGTTGGGCTTTTTGGGAACCCCGAAGAGAGGAGGATGACACGACCAGCACGAGTGTGGAGGAGGGGGTAACATTCCACGGGGGGTACGTGTACCGTCGCGGGGTGAAGATCTGAGATAACGAGACCTCGTCTTACTTTCGCTTTCCTCCTTCGATTCGGCTGTTTTTCGAGCCTGGTTTCTTCTCTTTCCTCTTCTTTTTCTTCGTTTCCCATCCTCTTGAATCTCGTAGCCTTCGTTTGGGTATCATCCGCGACCTAAGCAGACGGCGTTTGCTCTTTGAACCCCGGGACACGGAGACTGGTCGGCGTAAATCATCGGTCGGAAATGATCTCGGAAAAGGGGTTGACAGTGTCGGTGGATTCGGCACAGAGAAGAGGAAAACGGTCGGCGTCTAAAGCTTTACCTGGACCTTCTGGTGAATCAACGTAAACGGCCGACACCACTTACGGTTATGTTGTGGGACACAGGCGATGGGAGATAAATTTCGGAATCTTCACGAGCCGGTAGAAAGGTTGTCGTTGAATAGTTTCGGTCGGTGTTGGGCAAATTTGTTCTTAAGGGACGAAACCACTGTGAGGGATTGAAAAAATCGAAATTTTTGTTTCATCTCTTTTCAATACTTGGGGGTTTAGGAATGGTCCCCTAAAATATTAAAGTAAAATTCGCAAAAATGACAAAGTTACAGAAGATTTAGTAGATGTAGAAAATGTAATATGCGTAACGTTTGAAACTAACTGCTCTATCGGGATATTCATTTGAAACTGTCAATAACTCGGTAAATTTTCATTCGATTTAATAATTTTCTTCAGTTACACGTACGGAATTTTCAATCGAATAATTAGTTTCGACGTGGTGTTAAAAGAAATATTTATTTGGTCACTTTTTTTTGAGATTTTTCCTTCATATTCCACCGTTTTATAATAAATAATTATTTTTAAAAATCCATAAGTGCAACTGAAGCTACTGTCTTGTAGTTTAAGAAAATGGCACGATTTCTTGTTTCACAACTTGCAGTGAAAAATTACACGTCCGCTCGTTTCTAACAAATTTGAAAAGGCCTCTCACGCTGGTTCCTATTATGGCTATAATAATTAATTCATATTCTACTATTCAAGAACATTTATCAGAAAAAGTTTCATAGTTACGCCCAAAAGATTCTTGAAAATTGCCTTTATTTTCAGCCGCCACAGTGGTCTTCCCCTTTAAAGGATTATTCTACCGTTAAACACTTATTTCGGCCTCCACTTCGATCATTTTTTGGCAACGAACGATACCGAAATATCAGCAAAGTATCATCAAAATATCGTATTAATTTTTTAAATAACATCATGAAATTATGAGGCTAATATTGCCTTTCACGAACCGAACAAAAATTTCATCTATATTTTAAACAAACAAGTAGAGTTCGATATTTCAATGCATTTATTTTTTTCTATTTAAAAATAATCAATTCAATTTAAATTTTACCTGAAAATCCGCGACATTGATATTAAAATCTGGTTTCGACTCAAGGAACTCCCTCACTTCTGGGACGCTTCCGACCTCGACCAGATCGAAGAATCGTTTTTCCTCTCTTTGCAACGATGGAATTATCACGCTGGATCGCTGCAACAGTAACAGATTTGTCGCTACAGATATAATAATTACGATAAAATTCGTACTAAAACGTTTTACGAATTTTCTGGTTGCTACGTGCACAAATCTTAGGGTACTCTTTGTAAAAATTAATGAGAAATTGCACTGCAAAATCACTCGGATACCTTAAAAAATATTTCAAGACGCTGACACAATGTTTGACGACTTCTTGTTTAAAACGTCATAATGTTATATCTTTATAACCTCCAATAATCGTTACTTGCAAACGCTTACCATTCGCGGAATGTCCTCGTCCACATCTTCCTCCATTCTAAGCACGTGCTTGGCTTAATTACTCCGGCAGCTCTTGGGAAAGTAATTGTTACCCTATTTTGCATGAAAACGCTCTGTGAATCATACACCAAAGTCGCACAAAGTTCATAAAAGGTTTTAGCAACAAAGAAACGTCGAAACTAATGAATTCGACCGTAATTCTTTTTTCTTTTTCAATTGAAAAGTTGACGTTCGAAAATTTCAATTTCAAACGACACTATTCTTATCTTCGCTGTTTGTTTATACTTTTATATTTTATTTCTTACTCTACTAAATATTACCGATTTTTCAAAAATCGTAACATACTTTTTAATAGCGTAAAAGATGAGTTACGCGACTGCGTATAATTTCAATATAATTTAAAGTGAAAACGTGTTTAACGATCGAAACGTTTCAATTAATAGAGTACAAAATAATAGAGAAAGATTAATCAATTGATAGAAGAAAATTGGCCAAAAACTGGATTATTTATTTGCCACTTCATTGCGATGCGTTGATTTAAAAATAATCATTCTGAACATCATTGCGTATGCGATTAATAAGTTAAATGCTATAAACTCGTTCGCATCTATTAAAATAGAACTACACTGGTTATTACTGTAATATTCACCGTGGAACCACCCTAGGAAAAGAACCTCAATCACAAGATACTGGTTTAATGATTTAATTCAATCTATCGATGGTATATATACATAATTTATAATTTGTTTTTGCGCTACGTACAAATAATAATATAATATAATAATATTAATAATAATAATTACTATAATATAATAATATATAATATATAAATTTCTGGGGATAACTTAGATGTCAATGTAGCAACCGCTTTAGCGTTGATTCTCTTCTCTTGTTGGATTTCAATGATCGAACCGAAACGCGATCATCACGCTGGGATTACTATACAGCGAGGGGAAATTCGATGTTCCGTTTATGAATAGCGTTAAAATGCAGCGATAGATACGTGTAAGGTTAAAACGAGTCGGGGAGACGTAGCGTTGTCGAGCAATTTCATGGTGGATTCTACAGAAAAAAAGATAGAAAACGAAAGCGAGTAGCGTAGACTATGTACAATAATTATTTTCGTTTTTTTTTCTTCCTTTTATTGTTTAAGCGCGCTTAATCTATTCCTTTCGCCTGGGTCGCTTAAAACAAGTAACAGAGACAAAATAATACTTTGTTTTTCTTTTTTTTTTTATATTCTGATTACCTTACAGGGACAAAAGCGAAAGGACGAAGCATGACCCGACGAGATTGTCAGGATTTAAAGGAGTTTCTATAAATAAACGATTTCTAATGATAGAGTATCGATCATGTCGAGTCGCGAAAGGGGTGAGAAGCGAGTAGAAGGTACAGAGCACGTTGCAACGAACGCGAACGTGTTCCCGATTTGACTGAACAGACGTACGATTTATAAATATAAATAAAAAATAATATACGAAACACGCAATCGAGTCATATTTTTCCGTACGTTTCGTGGAAACGTGTAAACATTGTGAACAGATTGCCAGGCACTCTGTACAATGTTTGACATATTGCTAATCGTTTTGCAAACAATTACTGCAAATATTGTCGAGAATTTTCGCCTATATACCAGTCATACGTGATTGAAAACGTTATTGCGAATCGTTCTGGAAACAGAAAACGGATATTCATTGTTACAAAATACCTTTGAAATATTTTACGTGTGCCACGCGCGGTAACAGAAATGAAAAATGCTTTCATCAAGCATTTTATAAAACCAATGACAATCTTTTAATTTTGACGAAGAATTCTGATAAAAATTACTTAATAATATATAATGCGCATTATTGGAGAAATTTGAATAAAAACATTCTATCGGAATTTCGCATTAAACAGAGATTGTACAATTAAAAGACGTTTGGCCAAAGCGGTGACGGCGATTCGAAAAAAATTTCCACGCGTATTCAATTTTTATTTTTATCAGTTCAACGATTCGACCTAATTAATTTATCCATTTTTAATCACAATTAACCGGGCTTTGGCGCAGATCCATCTCAGAAAACACGATGCGTGCGTATTCGTCAAGGAACGAAGAAGGAAAACATTTATATTATATACTCGTATTATACACACACTACAATATTAAGAGAAAAGCTCCGATCCTCTCTAAAGCTTCGTTTCGTTATTTTCGTCCTACAATATCTAGTATACTACACGTCACTCGGTCAACGGAGGTGGGTCATTGGCCCAATAAACACTTTGAGTCTCTTTAACATCCATTTCCGTCTTCGAACGTTCGAGTACGTTTTTAAAAAATTACCAAGAGAAAGATTCCTCTGTCTCTTTTCCGTCCTCTCTCCAACTAGATACAATTTACTGGCAGCAGTGTGATGAGAATGAATTGGCCGCTCGAGGTCACTAAGGCCCTCTCCCCGCCACACGATTTTTCTATCTCCTCCACTCTAACTTCCGTCTTATCGTGCAAACCTGGAGGCAAACGCTTTTCATTTATCAGAGAGGAAAGCTGACATCAAAGTCGAGCATTAATCAATTGATACAACGCGACTAACCTTAGTCAATTAGTGAAATTAATCGTAAAACGCTCGCGCCGATTGATAATTAAATTAATCGTTAGTTCGTTGCGACCATAATGATTAAATTAATGATCCTTTAATAACGTTCAGTTTAAAATCATCGAAAATATCTTTCGTGAGCGTTTAAAAAATTCATTTAAATCAGTTCCTCCTCATTTAAGTACAAAACTTAATTCAGCAACCTATATGTATATCTAAAAAAATAATGACAATTTTGTGACAATATCGAGCTTAGAGTAGACAAGCTAGATATAATTTGATAAGTCTTGAAATTTGGTCGTTTCAAATTCTCAATTCACAAATTCTCTAAAACGTTGCCAACGTGTATACGATCATGAACATATTATTTTTAAAAACTTTCCTGCAATATAGCTCTAAAACATAATTCACGTTAAAAAGAAAGTTGTAAGAAGTTTTCGATGGTTCGAAGAGTAACGATTACTTTACCCAACGATAGTCGCAAACCACTAACAATTACTTTCCCCGATCAACCATCGGTTGATCGCTGTTTCGATTAAAGTTTGCTCGACGCTGTGCCGTAAAAGTGGGAGTTTCTAGTCTGATTCGTAGTGGGGGGAGTGTCCTTGAACGGCCAGTTGATTTCGCTCCGACTCGAGCCGTCGCGAAGCAACAGAGACTGCATACGCGCAGGGGCCTCCGACATTCTGTCCAAAGACGAGTTCGCGTCTCCTCGAATCACGATCTGCTTGTTCTGTACACGTTCAACCCTTCTCATCCAGGACGCACGGAATCTCTTCGTCCTTCGAAGCGTTCACGTAACGAGACTAACGCCCGGACGCGTTTCACGGTCCGTTTCGTACAGCTAGATTTCTCGGTCCTCCCGAATCGACCCTCATTGATAAAGCATCCTGGTGGGGGTGACGTACGACGATACCCAGTACAGGAACGAGGCGTACCAGTGTATGCCTTCCTCTATCGTCCTAGCGTCCTGCCTGACGTCCGGGTGCCTCGTGTTCTCGACGACGATCCTCGCGAAGAAAGACTTGACGGTGGTCCAGACTCTGTACGGCAGGAAAGCGAAATGGATGACCTCCTGGCTGTCCACGAAGGCGTAGCAGGACGCGACCACGTCGTCGACTAAGAGAGTGCCTTCCGTCGTCAGGGGCGCGTAGATGCCCTCTTCGAGGACCAGTCGATTGTCTACGACCTTGTCCCACCGCAGACGATGCTCCACCTCGTTCTCGTCCGCGGGATCCCTTACGAGGATCTTGTCGCCCGATTGCACCCTGCCGGCGAAGATCGACGACCTGCCCTCCACGGGCACCAAGTGGGCCGGCGTCAAGGTCAACACGCGACCGGTCTCCGTGGTCAGTCGAACGAACTGCCTCCTCTCTGTCAGGCCACGGTCCAGGAACGCGATCACCTCGCTGTAAACGATGTCCCCGCGCGAATCCAGGGCGGCGATCCGATCGCCCAGCTGCACCTGGTCCAACCTCTTCGCGGACCCGTCCTCGGTCCGCACCAGGCTTCTACCTGGGAAGCAACCCCCGGATTTTGCTGCCGACGAGGACTCTGAAAGTGGACGAAGGGTTGATTAGGCATTGGTTGAGATAACTTTTTAGCGATGCACTAGCAATGAGTGAAAGTAGACGACTGTTTCTGAGAGTTTGAGAAAATTATTCCAAGATTGCACCACCACAAAATTTATGAAATCTTAGAAGAATACATTCGTTATTTATTTTACACAACTTTCTACAGTAAAATTCTTATTAGCCGGCATACTCGGGACTGGGATAATGCCCGCAAAATCAAATATGCCGGATAATTGGATTATACCTACATATGAAGTGATAAAAACTAGGAATATAAATACAGACGAGATATTCGAGTAGACATTACATCCAATGTATTTTTTTGACCCATTTTTCTCGGGTCCTAGAGCCCCATTGCTATTTTCGTGTCACTCAACAGGTTACAGAAACGAACACAAGAGGAAATGAGACAGAACATGAAATTAGAGAATTTCTGGCCACGGATTATATTTTTGGTAAAGAATTTTTTCTTTGTAAATGGGTAGGATTTTGGGAAAATGTATATTGACCAAAAATGATTGTAATTAACCCCCGCAAACGAAAATAATTTTTCCAGAAAGATTTGAATAAATTTTTTTTCACCGAAAAATTTAGGCACGTACCCTTGTCGATTTTTGCTCAAAAATTCGTTTTTCGTTTTTAATAAACACAATTATTAGTAGGTTATGTAGTAATACGATGTATTAATAAAAAATAAAATATATAAAATTCCTATCCTTTATTTATTTGATTTGTTTCTTTGTGTAAAATATAATCCATTTACCGAAGAATAATCGTGGTAAATATGCTGGTTATTCGGACATTCCGGATAACCGGGTGTCGGATAATCGGAATTCTACTATATGAAATAAATTTTAGATTTGCACTATTACTGGATATAGATATTATCGAGCGATGTATAAACAAATTTTAAATTGTAGAACGTATGGTTCAAGAATATGTCGTGTTTCACCCACTCCAAGCAAGGTTTCTGGGTTACTTCGATAGACGATGCTATTGTTTATAAAATTTGTGAAAAATTCGTTACGTAAATTTCATTCCTCGAAACAATGAAATCCATAACTATGGAACGAGCTTTCGAATTGGAAGGGATCAAGATCGCTGGATCGTGTAATCGTATCTGCCGACGCGGCGTCATCGATCGGGAGAGTCGCCGAGACGAATGAGCATCACGGACGAAAACACTCTGCGTGTGAAACGAGCCATAACCATGGGAAACTCATGGTAATCGCGACTCTGGGACCTGACGTCGACATAGCGCTGTACTTCGTGCAAGAGTTTCCCGCGAATAGACGCGATTTCCCTCGGGAACCATTTTACGTTGACGAGATCGAGCGACGGCGGGCCTCATTTGAATTTAAATCCCGTCGCGCGACGCCATCGATCCGGCTTAACCATCGAATGTTTCTTCGTCGCGTTTAAGGCTTTGTTTTCACGGAGGCAACATTCTTGAAACGATTTACAAGAAAAGTGACCTAACGCGACGATAAAATGTTTCTACCCCTATCGGTGCTTTTTACGCCCTTGTGAAAATACGAGCGAACTTGTTTTCCAATATAAATGTCGCGGGACGAGATTTCCACGGTCGTTCGTATTGACGAGATCGATGAGGGGTTCGAGGATGGAGAAGATCGAGAATCGACCAGGCGTTGAAATCGTGACTCGCGTCCAACGACCAAACCTCGTCTCCGAATATCATTTTTTCGGCTCGTATCGATTTCGCGGCGATCGTTGCGTTGGAATCTAATTCGAGCCGACAGGCGCGCCTAGATTTATTGATATTTATTTTGAAACTCGAGCCCTAACCGGCCAACGAGACAAGCCGATCGCTCGTGCGCAGCATTTTTCAGCAATTTTTGTCAAGCTCGTGTCATAATAGCATCATCAATAATTTCTTAATGGAAAGCCTTGAAAGAATGCGTGAATCAATATGAACTGCTCCTATTTCCTATTGAAATATCTATTTTATTGAATGTAGAGGAAGAAGGAAATTCTATAAAATTAGTATATACATATTAATATTATAACAAAAATGATTGAAAGTAGCAAAATAGAAAATAATCTAGAAATTAATAGAATAAATATATCTAAATATATATGTAATATTTTTGAAGAAAATACATTATCACAGATGACTAAAATCACTCACTATTAGAATGGACGATTTTAATCATTATTCTTGAAAGTATTATAAGGGTGTTCGGCGAACCCTGGGAAAAATTTACATGAACGATTCTAGAGGCCAAAATAAGACGAAAATCAAGAATACCAATTAGTTGATGGAGGCTTCGTTACAAAGTTATTAGCGTTTAAAGTTCCGCCTGTAGAATGGCAACCTGCTTACAGCTGCGGTCGCGCGGAAGGTTGCGGCATGCCAGATACATTTTAGACATATTTCATTCAGTTATGTATTAAGTAGCATGTAAGAAATACAGTAATATAAACAGTCAGCGAATACTTATTGAATTCCTTTTTATATTTTTAAATTAAAGTGTATTTGAAAAATTAAGAACATTTCTATTCGTAAGTAACTCGGAACAATCGTGGTACACGTACACATAGACAGTCACGAATAATATAATCGCGGTGCGTATTTATTTAATTGCATAGTGGTTAGTGTCTGAAAGGATTATTTGTGGACACTTGCGGACACCGTAGACGATCGTGGGGCGTGTATGATCGCGTGTGGGTGATTTTTGTGCACAACATTGTGTATTGGAAGTGACATTCACCCTTTTTCCGTGAAAATCTCGTCGGGCGAGTTTTGATATGCCCTTCTGGATTTACATATGACAGGTTGAATCTTATTCAACGTAAGGTGTTCGCGTTCCCATAAGTAGACAAAAATCTGAGGTTATCGATAACGTCGGTAAGTAGAAGTTTTCATGCTGCGTGAGAACCACTAGCACTGGCCTGCCGTAACCTTCCGTGCGAACGCAGCTGTACGCAGGTTGCCATTTTACAGGCGGAACTTTAAACGTTAATAACTTTGTAACGAAGCCTCCATCAACTAATTGGTATTCTTGATTTTCGTCTTATTTTGGCCTCTAGAATCGTTCATGTAAATTTTTCCCAGGGGTAGCCGAACACCAGTATTTGATTTCGAATTTTAGAAAATATTTCCATCCACTGCTAATGATCGGGCAATGTGTAAGATAATTGCGCTGTTACGAAATTCCCTATTATCTTCGAGAGACTGGTATCTCAAATTGTATTTTACTATGTGGAACAATTACGTCCAACAACGCGATCATTTTCTGCAATACCCTGACGATCTATGGAAGTCGGTAAAACAGAACACTTTATGTGACTGAGGGAGCTAGTAGCGCGCCGAGCAAAGAATTTTCGCGAACCAGTGGTGCTCCATGGTACACAAATCCTTGCAAAGAGCCGGTAAACAATATTTAACTAAATATATAAAAATTTTAATTAAACTTTCATTTCCTGACGTCACTTTTTATTGTTTTAGAGTTTGGAACAATCTGAACAAATTCTGAGATACTTGTCGAAGTCTCTAATTTAGTATACAAACGATCAATGAAATGTTGGAAAACTTGGGGTTTAAAATTTAATTACTTACTTAATTGTTAGGGTTATTTAGATTTGCTACTGAATAGTGACAATGTTTAGCATCAGAATAATATTATAGTTTTTATTAATTATCTTTCTATTTTACTTTTCTTAAAATTTCAATACTTGTTGTAAACTGTTTAATCCAATCTCGAAAATGCAAAAAGAGAGTCCGTTGACATTGGTTTCACAAATTTAAGTAGAATCGTAATCGTGTAGAGTCGATAAGGCGCGATATCTGCTCACGATCTACGACGAATCATCGCAAACATCGTGCGAGATTTAAAGAGAAATTAGGCGATCAACAAGGCGTGTGATAAAATCAATACGTGACTCGTTTAGTGACTTACCAACTTATTAGTATAACTTATTTCGACGTATAATGGATAAAGCAACAATGACGAGGCGAGAAATGAAAACACGCCACATTTGAAGTATGCGGATTAGCAGCGATAATATGATTTATCGATGACAAGATCTCCATAAAATGAGATTAACAGATAATTTCTCTGGGATAAAAAACAATTTTAATTCCCTACTATGGCGCCATAAGATTACATCGCTAATCGCTATTATTAAAATGAATTCTTGGACTACGAAGGGGTTTTCTGGTGAAAGATGTTATCTTCAAACTGTTTAACTTTAAATTATCATTGTAATTACAATTTTTATCGAATCTTATTTTTTAATTTTCGAGGTCTATGAGAAATTTCATTTTTTGGTAGATCTTTGAGTCTATCCTGTTTGTGCTTTGTTTTCATCCTCATCTCTTCGTAACGGAGCTTAGGTAAAATATAAAAAACATAATCGAAAATACTGACCAGACTTAACGGAGCAGTGGATGTGCGACCTGGACTCGTAGTAGACCCAATCGAAACCAGCTTCGACAGCGAGCCTCGCCAGCATTCCGTATTTCGAGCGATCCCGATCGCTCGTTGTCACGTCGACGGCACGTCCCTCGTAATGCAACGAATCCGTCGCGTGCTTCCCTTCCTCGTCCCATCCTTCTGTCACCCTCAGTTTCACCCCCGGCCATTGATTCATTACCGAGATCGCGAGAGTGTTCAACTTCTCCTTGCATCTCTGCAACATATCACTTCCGAGGTTATTGAATTCATAACGAGACCGTGATTAGGCAGTTGGATACCAGCGACTTAAAAGGATCATTCCATTATGCAAGTACCAAGTATACTCTTCGAGTTTAAGCAGAGAACTTAATGATTGGTCACGGAGCTTACTAATTAATAAGATTATGATTGGGAAATCTCTAGTAAAATCGGGTAAATCATCCTAAGATACAGAGAACAGTTATATTCCGAACTTACATACTAATTGGTTCCACAGTGGCTAACCGTAAGTTGAGCTATTTATTTATTAATGCACGGTTGCATGTGAAAGAAAATTTAAGTCCTATAGGAGTTGTGATCTATCATTTCTTTTATAAATGCATTAATAACGGTTAAATGTCACGCCTACTTTGTACACTCGTACATTGGTTCGTAAACAATTTGTAAATATCATGATACTAAACAACAGGTACGAACAATCAACTAAATTTTAGGACGATATAAAATTTCGTGGTACGTTTGAAATATTGCTGAAAGTTCTAGTACGAAACTCGAACTTACGAAGCCTAATATGAGCGTGACGATTTTTTAAGGCGTTTCTCGAGATTCGTACCAGAGTGCAACTCGAGTCCTCGATGAGTTTCTCGTTTCTCGGACCAAGGTGCGTCCTTCGGCGCCTTTTCCATTGAACCAGGGTCCTCGTTTTTCAAAGTTCCGCTTAACGCGATTTGTCCCGGGGGGTGACGAGTCAGAGTCGGGAACCAGGACAAAAATCCGACGATTTCACGCGGATGCGCGCGGAAAAAGGTACCGGCGCGTAAACCTGGTCACCGGCAGGTAAACGAGAAGAGACGCCGTGGAAACGGATGCGTGTTTTGACCGGTGACCAGGACGGACAGTAGGACCGTCGAGGGGGCTGTTTAAGGGTCGAGGCTGTGGCGAATCAGGAGGCAAACAGGAGTATAAATACGACCGGTATCGGGGGATCATTCGGTCACGGCGATCCTCTTCTCGTTTTCTTCTCGGATTCTCTTTCTCTCTTTCTCCGTCCGGATGCCTCTGTTTGGCCATCTACCTGGCGGATACGCGAGCGCCCGGGGGCACCGGTCAATACAGCGCGCGAGGAAACACGGACCAACAGGGATACTCTCTGACTTCGTGTCACGGGAGGCAGCACGGATCCCGTGTAAACCCCGTTTAATCCGGAACGCTACGTATCGAGGGCGCGAGAAGCCCAAAGCGGCGGTTGGTCCCCATTCAGCGGACCCGCGGCGGCATTGTCGGGGATCCCTTCGAGCCGTCCTGGGCCCGTGTTTAAGTTGATTTTCGAGGGGTAATCGCCCACGCAGGGCCGTGTCATGCCTCGACGAGCCCGTACAAGCGGCTCCCTTGACGCCGCCGCCTTCTCGCCAGCTTTATTCTCGACCGGGCGCGCGGAAGAAGCTAATTCCCGGCCCCGGTCTTTTCACCGTGTTCAAGTCCAAACGATTTTTCTGCGGTCGATCGGTCATCGAGCAGGAAATGTGAACGCTGTTTGGGAAACTACCCGGATGGGGTCCCATTCAAGCTGCTTTCATTGAGTCTCCAACAAATTGACTCTGCGCGAGGGGTAGTTCCCAGTGTAAGAATTAGAATTAGGAATAGTTGGACAGCAGAGGACATCGGTCAGGGAAGACAGTCAGATGGGATGCCATCGATGTTGCTATCATTGAGGTTTTGGATAAATTGACTCTGCGTAAGGGGTAGTTTCTTAGCATAAAATGTTATAGACATCTAGAATTGTTCAGTTTCTCCAGCTCTTGGAGTACTTTGACTCTCAAGTTAACCCACACTCTGTGAACATTATTCACCCTTTGGCCTCTCCCATCATCAAAGGTTCGGATCCAGAATTACCAGCACTCCTATCGCAATAGGTACTTAAACGACACCTTCTGAATCTCGACGCGACACCAAGTAGGAGAGACCGGGGCAAGAAGTTTCAATTTCGAGAAAACATAAAAAATGTCTAGGAAATAATGTAGTTACTTTTTTCACTCCTGACTACTTTATTGTTAACTTTATTCTATTTTAAGATTTTCGTTTCTTTTGTGATTAGTCGAAGCTGTCATGGACGCTATTAAATTGTTCTACAGCGTGGCGTGATTAGTTTTCATAATAACTGAAGCACAACGCTATCTTTTTTCATCTTAAAGATGCAACCGTCGGAATAATTTAACCCCAGTCTCACCTACTATTGCAAGTAAGGACCGAAGTCTGAATCTATATTTTCATTTAGAAATTTATCCATCGTGTCTTCCACCAATTTTTCAGTCCGACGAATTTTCACCCTATAGAACACCTGCTCGATCCCGGATGCCAATCACAGTCGCCGTTTCTCCAAGAGATCGTACACCGTCCGAATCTTTCTCAATATCCCCTGCGAAGTCGCGGAGCACGCTCGTTAATTCCCTGGCCGGCGTGCCATTGTGCCACGTTGAATTTCGCCCCGCGTCCTTCCATTGAAACTCCGCCTTAAGCCACGGCGAGCGTGGCTCTCGCGGGGCCCGCGAACGCCGACAATGTGACTCGGTTCGACAGCGAGCACGAAACGAAACGAGGCTTACAATACCACGAATTTGCAGCTCTCCTTGCGGCAATTAGCCCCTATTGAGCCGTGCACGACAGCTCGAGGGACCGGTCCCGCCTTTTCTTCCTTCCGTCTTCGTTGTGTTTCTCTTGGCGTTTTCTTTTTCCCCCGTTGCCTCACCCCTCCCCGCACCCGCCCTTTTCGAATATCCTCGTCCGGTGAAAAGCCGTAGTCCGTTCCGCGGTGTCACGGTCACGTGCACGCGATCGCACGCCCGTCGGCTGTCGGATGAATTCCCATTAAGGTTAGCCTCTGAATGAACGTTACGCTGCGAACGACACCGTAACCGCGGTGCCGCGGTATCGCGTTTAATAGACAGCCATAATTCTCCCTCGCTGCCTTCTCGACGTCTTTTCGTCGAATTTATAACCCGCGGCCCACGCCGGCGCGACTGCGCAGCTGCACTGCGCAGAATCACCACGTGATCACAATGGCTACTGTTTGAACCAGGGCTACAGTCATAGTTCCATTAAAAATATTAGCTTATTTGGATTTTAAAATCAAACTTTCATACTTTAGTAGATTATATTACCACCATTTTTTCTAACTACTTTAAACATTCTATTATTTACACTACTAATTGAGGTTTTTAAGGTTGATAAATTGAAAATGAACAAAGGTAATCTGAAAACTTTATTTTATATCATTTATCTTACAATTCAATCAACTCAATTTGTATACGCAAAGAATATACATTGTATTGCTTTAAGAGTTACGAATTCTCGAAACGTACAGATTAAATATCTTTCAACCGTTAAAAGGATTTCAAGTTCGTTTTAAAAATGTTTTCCATTTTGTCCCCGAATTGTTTCCCTTTTCCATTGACAAACTGGAAGTGCCATATGTTCGAACGGATTACACGTTTCTGAATAGTTGCACCGTCACCGCATGATAATCGATTCGGCACACGGAAGAGCCACGATACCCTAGGGACCGATTTGTCACCATGAATCGCGACTTTAATGGCGCAGTCGACGTTAGAAATTAACTTCGTTCTCACAGTTATCGACGATTTCCAGCGAATTCGCGTATGCACGGTGTACCCGGCCGGAGATCCAGCGCAAATTTACTCAACGAAGATGTGCACAGGGCAAACACAATGTGTTTTCATACCGATGATTTATCATCGCTTCCGAAGGGAGTCGGTGTTTGAACGGGTGTTAATAATTTACACGGCTAACAATCAGGTATGCTAGAGCACGTCGTCAAACACATAGGGAAACAGTTGATTTTTCAAAAGAAAGAATGGAGGATTTCGCTCGGGTGAGAACACTTTGTTCGCTTTCCTCGCTCGCAGAATTTATATTCTTACGTTCCGTAAACTTCGCGTTGCGATTTGTAAACGGAAGTCTATTCAATTCGTTGACGTAGAGAATGAATTGGTATTTGATTTATCGATATGGAAAATTTCTTTTCCAAAGAATATATTCTCCTACTACCAACGCCATATTATCCAGACGTTGAAAAATAATTTCCTTCTACAACGACGAAACCGAAATAAATTGCTTGCGTTGTCGTCGAATTTTGCACGAAGTCTAGAGCACGCAAAGTGCGTGATCGGGTAAGAAGAAAACGAGAAGAAAAAAAACGGGATGACTAATAACGAAGAAAAAGAGGAGGATACGCGGGAAAGAACAAGAGAAGAACGAACGGAAACGAAGACGAGTGGGAGGATGAGTGAGACGAAGTAAAAGGAGGTGGAAGAAATACAAAGGTTGGCCGATATAGCTTCGTATAAAGAGAGGGAAGAATGGTGAAGAGCCCGAGAAATGTACTTACCGACCGTGGTGCGCGATGGGGCGCCTTGTTCACCCAGCGGGGAATCCCCAGAGCCCCTCCCAGACTTTACATCTATTTACAAACATTTTGGCGGACCGGAGATGGAGTGAAACGGAGAATAGGCAGAGAATGCGCGCGGTCGAGCAAAGTCGAGAATGTCGGGGCCTTATGAAAATCCATTTCGAGTGAAAAATGGCCCGGTCCGTAATCCATTAGGGGCACAAGGGCGAAAGGGAGGCAGAGACGGGGATGAAAAAAAGGGCACGACACAAAGCTGCGCGCGAAATTTCCTCAAAACCGTGAGCGACTTTCGTATTGGAGAAAAGCCCCCATTTTGCTTTCTCGCCACTTATTTTTTTAACCTTATCGAAACTCACGAATCGTATCCACAATTATTTTTTATTAACTCGAGGATTGGCCATAACGAAAAACTGTCTCCCGTTTTCTCGTTGGAAGAGTATTTTTGCAAGATGGATTTACAGAAAATTATTTTTCCACGATAGCGGCTCGTACGAATCGACAATTTCCACACGCTTTATTAAGGCTTCGCGTCATTTAGTTTTTATTCGTTGCTCGAAATTTTTATCCAGATAAGAATACCGTTCGCGTTT